AACCCATGTGATCTTTCTGGAATGTGTCATCGTTATGGTTGAGATCTTTTAAAAGAACTGCAAGGAAGAAAGGAATTATATACCTCTTGCAATTGTGCTTGAGAGCAACTACGTCGCCTTTTGAATAGATAATCTCATATTCTTCGGCTGCGTCTTGAACTGTAATTTGTCCTTCACTCCCTTGAACCTCTTTCAGCAGATCGACTTCTCCATGTGTCGACGCATTCCTTCTGAACATACTCAGAGCAAGTGGAAGTGTACCAGCTCTTTCCGGTCTTCCCCCTCGTTCGTTGCTGTCGTACACCCCGTCCGAATTCTTTCGCAAAGCTCTGCAATGCCTTCTTTTGTCGCTCCTTTCCCTCCGCCCTCGTTTCCTCGTCCATATCCTCCTTAAGGTTTACTCTTGCCGTGCGACTTTCGAAGCCATTCCGGTGCCTTTGGACCCAGCCTTCTCTGTGTGTAATGGATTTGAGGACCGGTATAAAAGATAAACGAGGATTGGTAGAGCCTCTCTATTGATTCTAAAAGGCAGCTGGGCCGCCGCGATGCGTAGTCGTTCAGAGCGGGTGTTCTCACTCCACTAAAAAATTCAGGCCCCAAATCTAAGGTGGTGATACCTTTCGGGGTCAACCATTACATAAGCCGAGGCCGAATAGCCCAAAGGGCCGAAAAAAATTCTTGTAGATCAATATTGTCACTTAAGTCTGTAAATTTTGTGCAAAACAAAATAGCCACTGCAGGAATGAGGTCTGAAAAAAATCTTGCATGAAAAAAAATAACCCATCCCCCGCTCAAAAATAAAATAGTGGGCCCCTTACTGGTGGCCCTTCATGCTGAGTGCTACAATATATTAAATTCCTGCAGACTCTGCTACTTGAACCTAGTATGCAACATTCCTTTCACCAATTCAACCGTCTATTTTATAAATAAAAACTAAAGGAAATAAACCATAAAGGCTTTGTTACTTTTATTTCACCGAGGTAAGTCTTTGGTGTTCCACTTATTTTCACTAATTCTACACTTTAATTTCAGATTATTTGTCATACAAACATTTATCAGTTATACAGTAATAGAATGTGTCTTTACTTTCCGTGCGCAATACTAGCACTGGTAGGTAAACCGATCTCGGTTTCTCATCAGAGTTCGAGATAACCCTAAAACTCCATGCAATTGGAGCAGATTTATTAAATTGTGAGAAAGCATTTATTTTGCAACAAAGCGCGCAAATTCATTGTACTTGTATTCTACTTTTGACGTCAATTCTAATTGCTGCGGAGCGACCGAAGGGAGCGAGCAGCAACATAATCAGGATTTAAAGGAAATATATAAGGGACGACGAATTCTCGAATTCATCACTTTTTACCACAATGCATTGCATTTATTATATTTAACCACACTTTTAACCACAATGCATTGCATTTAACCAGAGTGCATTGCGCCACGAACAACTCAAATAAAAACACCAGGAAGTTTGGTGGGTGAGAGAGTGCATCGTTCGCTGCTCAGACTTAGAGTTTTCTTTGTGGCAAATTTTCTACAGCACGGTTAGAGGTCTTACCAAATTTTAAGACACGCAGGAGTCTTTCAGATGAGTACGATGGTTAACTTGGGGATTGGATTTCAATTCAAGAGCCTTTGACTCGTCCAGGTGTTAAACCTGACTAGAAGATGAGCATTTGCTCTTCGACTCCGAAACACGGGGGATATACAAATTTCAGCTTGCTAGAAGGTGATGTGAAAGTGAGAAAATGTCATGCAGTGCTATTCTTAAGAAACTGCATGAGCCGAAAATGGATGTGATTTTGACCATTCGCTTCAAAATAACAGCGGAAATCGAGATAACAAAACATATGTTTTGTGTCCTACTTTGCAGACGAGGACGTGTATCGGCGTTTTGAAAAGCATAATTATGTTCTTTCATTCATTCATTGCCATGGAATATGCGTTTACATTGTTTTTTCACTGTTAATAGCTCGGTTAATGCGGCTGGCGATCATCTTGCCGGCGGAAGTTTCATGGAAAAGTAATAAATCAAGACTTTTCTGAAAGATTACGTAATCAGCCTCTGTGGTGTAGTGGTTAGGTGTAGTCGCGTCGAGCCGAGGGTGCAGGGTTCGAGTCCTACCGAATTATATATACTTTCTTTCTTTTTTTTTTCCATTTTTTGTGTTGTTGTTTTCTACAAATTAATGTATAGCTAAATAACTGTTACTTAATAAAGTGCAAGAAACAGCAAGAAAAGTATTGTGTTTCCAGGGAAAATATCGTGCACCGTATATTAAATATATGGATAAACAATCTGAATTTCTATTATTTCCTACAATTTACTGTGGGAAAACCAGAGTTGATAACCACCTGATCGTTTTCTAAACAACGTTCCCACGAGTTCTTTCTATAGACTGATAGTAATTATACATGTAAATAGGACATTCAATGTCATTTTCGATTCTTTTAATTCTCACTGCCTAACTAATGCCAGTATCAACAGAATCTGCCGCAGCATTACTATCTTTTAGATAACCTAGTTATTTAAGTACTTTTAAGGGTTAAGTTACTGGTCAAAAAATACGAACCTCGATTTATAGTCGCCTTGTGACTTGCTTGAGGCGATGAGCCAATCGGGACCTATACAGTAAATTCCGCTTTCAATGAATCGGTTTGAATCGGTTTGTCTATTGTCCTGTATCAGGTTATGTTTGATCGGCCGAAAAACTCTATGCTTGGACCCTTGCCAGGAGTAAATCAGTCAAGGAAGTACTTACGTACCTGTCTCTTTCACAGGATTTCTTTTTGTCCTTTTTCTTCTTCCCCATTTCTCGCAAAAAAAGATACGTATAAATCGCTTTCTCTGCCTTCTGGCGTTGACAGCCCGTTGAGGAGTTGCGTTACAAAGCGAGAAAAGTGACTTGAGATTCATATTACAGTGCCCTAAACAATTTTAAAAATAAATTAAGAATATGATACCATGTTTTCATCAAACAACCAAGACTTCGTATGACAGGAACTGCCGCCAACCGGAAGCAAGAATAGGTAATGTACCTCGGCCAGGAAATTATATGGGCAGAAACCTGATCCCATTCTTCTGAGCCCTGAACCTTTTCCTCTGAGCCCTGATCCCAGTCATATTTTAGGCTTTGAGCCCTGAGCCCATATACCATGTTACAACCCTGCTACGTGACAGGCGTTCGAAAGGGAAGGGGAAGGGAATAAGGCCGCGAGACCCCTTCCCCTTTTAACGCCTGCCACTCAGGCTACGGTTCTAGATTTTAAAATCATGGGTGGATTTAGGAGTGGGCACCCTTTCCCAGCTCTAAACACTAAATCTGCTTTATTATTATCTGCCGCACTTAATTTTTTTGCGAATTAAAGTTGTTCGAGGGGGGCGTAAGGGTTTGCGGTATTGCGGTATTGGGTCATTTTTGGTGCGGTGTTGCGGTAATTTTTATTTCAAAGTACGGTATTGCGGTTTTGAGAGTCCAAGCGGTTTGCGGTAAGTTTAAATTTTACGCCGCGGTAGTCGGTGAAAAAATCGTTGTGTCGCGGTGATCTGCTTCTCTTTCACGACAAGAGGATACAAATCCTAAAAGGTCTCCCTGGCTAGCCTGCGTGACCTGTGTGCACAGTCGGAGATTGTATTGCGCAAACAGTGCAGACAAATCGTATGGCTTCTAATTTCAGTTAATACTTGATATGATTAACGACATTAACTTTTTCCTCCAATGATACGCAAACATGTCGCATTATTTATGACTTCATGGACCTTGTGGGAATAGTCAGCTTGGTTAACCTCCTTTATACCAATCTTACCACCACTTTCGTGCCAGTCGCCAAACAATTATTCCAGCAAATAGTGAGGTCAGTGAGAGAATTATAATTTGCGTAGTGTCGAAAGATAATCTATAAAGATGGTGTGGTCTAAAAATTACTACTTGTCCTTCTCGTTGTGCATGCAGGAATATAGAATGTACTAGTATTCGTGTGTGCTTACCCTACGTAGTATAGCAGCCCGGGGGTGGTGGTGGGGGGGTACTTCCTGATAAGAGGCTAATGAGGATGTGCCGCTGGATGGGGTCGCATTTTCACGACTGGATTGACTATAATGGGGTCGCATTTTCAGAGAGTTTTTTAGAATGGGTTCGCACATTTTCTGCTTTTTTGGGGTAAGACAGTTCTTCATATTTACGGTTAGCAAAGGTACCAGAATGTTTGTATGGTAGATGAAAAGTAAAGTGTTCTTCATTCAATCTAAAACATAGTCTGCTACACAGCCGTTTTTAGTGTCGTCACGCAACGCTAAAAACGACACTAAAAACGGCTGTGTAGCAGACTATCTAAAACAAGGTCAATTCATAAAAATAGAAAGTGACGAAGTTGGGATCGCGAAAATTAAATATTTGTTCAAATGACTAAGATGGGGCCTATAATTGGCCACAGAATAGACTGAAATGGGGTAGGGGCTCTGAGAGGCCAGCGGCACATACCAACCAAATATTAACCTAAGTACCCCCCCACCCCGGGCATGGCAGTTTTAGATGGTTTTGTCGGCAGCACCACTGTGAGCGGCGAAGCAGCTCCTGCCCCAATCTCCTCGTCCGCGCCCGCTGTCACAGCGTTTTGGGCATCCCCGCGTTTTGGGCATCCCCATTCCCAAATCCCTAGCGTTTTGGGCATCCCCGGTGGGGGATGCCCAAAACGCTGATCGCTTCGACTTTGCCTAAATTATTTCAGACTGGGGAAAAGTCGGGATTGTCAATCACGAATTTACGGCTGAATAGTGTAGATGCATGTTAGAATTATATCGTCTGACACTTTTCGCCGGGTTTATTGCGCAGAAAAAAACCCATAGGCAGTAAACGTTGGCTCAAAACGGGACGAAATTGAAATTTACAACCGCATAACATCCCTTCGCTGTACAACGCTTCATTTTTTGCAAAGCTTCAATTTTATTTAATAGAACTGTTTACCAGCGAGAAATGCCGCAATCGCCGGCAGCTGCGATCGTCTGATTCCATACAGCCAAAAACAAGAATACTAAACAAAACAATCAAAAGACAAACATGAATAAAACTGCGTTTTGCGGTGTTGAATTCATAGTATGCATGACATTTGAGGCCTGTACAACTTAACCCCGCAGCGCTACTTGACACACAAAAGGCTGTCACACAATTTATACAGAGGCCTCTTGCACCTACCGGACAGAAGAAATTAATCTGTTGCCGTTTTGAGATGTAGTAGGGGCTTCTATTAAATCAATTCCGACCGAGTACCACACCTTGGGAACAACCTTCACAGGGTGCAAAAGTATTATCGCGGCCGGCGTGTCCAGAAAAAGGAGCAGAGTGGCACTCTTCGAAGACCCTCGCTTTCTCTTCCTCAGTGAAC